AAGAAGAAGAAGGTAAATAAAGAAATAAAGTAGAAAAGAAGAAGTAAAGAAGAAGAAAATAAAGAATAGCATAGTAGAAGAATAGTTGAAGAAGGAATAAAGAAGAAGAAGAAGAAGAAGAAGAAGAAGAAGTAAAGAAGAAGAAGAAGAAATAAAGAAGAAGGAAGAAGAAGAAGAAGAAGAAATAAAGTTGGAAGAAGAAGAAGAAGAAGAAGAAGAAGAAGAAGAAATAAAGAAGAAGAAGAAGAAGAAGAAGAAGAAGAAGGAAGAAGAAATAAGATGAAGAAGAAGAAGAAGGTAGAAGAAGGTAGTATTAAAGTGAAGAAGAAGAAGAAGAAATAAAAGGAAAAGTAAAATAGTTGAAGAAGAAGTTAATAGAAGAAGTAAATAAAGAAGAGAAGAAATAAATAGATAGAAGGTTGAAGAAGAAGAAGAAGAATATAATAGAAAATAAATAATAAATAAAGAAGAAATATTGAAGAAGAAGAAGAAGAAGGAAGAAGAAAAAAAAGAAGAAGAAGAAGAAGAAGAAGAAGAAGGAAGAAGAAGAAAGAAGAAGAAGAAAGAAGAAGAAGAAGAAGAAGAAGAAGAAGTGAAGAAGAAGAAAAAGATTAAAGGAAGAAGAAATAGATGAAGAAGAAGAAGAAATAGAAGAAGAAGAAGAAGAAATAAAGAAGAAGAAGAAGAAGAAGAAGAAGAAATAAATAAGAAGAAGTGAAGAAGAAATAGTAAAAGAAGAAGAAGAAGAAGAAGAAGAAGAAGAAGAAGAAGAAGAAGAAGAAGGAAGGTAAGAAGAAGAAGTAAGAAGAAGAAGAAGAAGAAGAAGAAGAAGAAGAAGAATGAAGAAGAAGAAGTGAAGAAGAAGAAGTTAATAAAGAAGAAGAAATAAGGAAGAAGAAGAATAAGAAGAAGAAGAAGAATAAAGAAATAAATAAATAAATAAATAAAGAAGATAGAAAATAGTAGTTGAAATAGATGAAGAAGAAGTAGAAGAAATAGAAGAAGAAGAAGTAGATGAAGAATAAATAAATAAATAAATAAGAAGAAATAATAAAGAATAAGAAGAAGGATAAATAAGGCTAGTTAAAGAAGAATAAGGCTGAAGAAGAAGTAAAGAAGAAGAAGAAGAAGGAAGTAAAGAAGAAGAAGAAGAAGGAAGAAATAGATGAAGAAATAGTTAAATAATAGTAAAGAAGAAAGAAGAAGAAGAAGGAAGAAGAAGAAGAAGAAGAAGAAGAAAATAAATAAAGAAATAAAGAAGAAGAAGAAAAGTGAAGAAGAAGTAAATAAAAGAAGAGTAAAAAGAAGAAGAAGAAATAGTAGTTGAAGAAGAAGAAGAAGAAGTAAAGAAGAAGGAAGAAGAAGAAGTAAATAAAGTAAAGAAGAAGAAGAAGGAAGGAAGAAGAAGAAGAAGAAAGTTAAAGAAGAAGAAGTTGAAGAAGAAGAAGAAGAAGAAGAAGAAGAAGAAGAAGAAGAAAGAAGAAGAAGAAGAAGAAGAAGAAGAAGAAGAAGGAAGAAGAAGAAGAAGAAGAAGAAGAAGAAGAAGAAGAAGAAGAAGAAGAAGAAGAAGAAGAAGAAGAAGAAGAAGAAGAAGAAGAAGAAGAAGAAGAAGAAGAAGAAGAAGAAGAAGAAGAAGAAGAAGAAGAAGAAGAAGAAGAAGAAGAAGAAGAAGAAGAAGAAGAAGAAGAAGAAGAAGAAGAAGAAGAAGAAGAAGAAGAAGAAGAAGAATAAAATTATTACAAATCAATAAAATAAATAACAATTATAATAAAGAAAATATATAATACAGGACCTCGGTTAACGAGCCTTGGTTAACGTACTCATAAGATTCTTAACTTCGTTAACGAGCAATCTCGATCAACAAGCTTAACCAGCCCCACATTACAGTTTCGCTACATTTGGCGTCCACCAGCTGAAGTATTAGTACCAATACAGTAATCGGTTCTAAGGCTTAAATTCTTACTATTTTAGTAAATATCAAGATGTGTACTGTTCAATAATTTTAAAAGTTTTATATTAAATTTTTAGTCATTTTTAACAATTATTGAACATAATTGAAGTACAGGAAGCTAGTTTTTGCGCGCCAAACAGCCTATCAACACAATACAGGCAGGCCAGTCTCGTGTCTTTTCAGTGGAGGTAACATCTTGCTTGAGACTCTCTTCAACTAAACGCTTTTTTTGTGTTTCCAAGCAAATTATTGGTCAATTTGAAATTTATTTTTAAAATATATTATACAGTTTGCAGCAGTGTTGATTTAAAGAAAATAATCTTGAATTACACCAAGAGAACTAAAATTTTATGGGTGAAATGGCACCATGGGTGATCTCTTCCACCCCAATGCTTCTTCCTTTCCACCCCCATTCTAATTCCCATCATCATCATCATCATCATCCAGTTTCTACATACACACCTCAAAGTAAGTGAACTTACTACCTTTTTGATGATTTGTGTACTGAGTTGAACCAATTACTCAAAACCCATTGAAACAATGGTTTCAAGCATCTAGGTTAACGTTAAACCTTCTGAACTAATTGTGTCATAACCGAGGACCACTGTACTATTAAAATTATAAGTTATAAATAATAATAATAATAATATTAATAATATCAACATTCCATTTCACTTTCATCTTATGTTTGTAAACACTAGGAAGGAAAAGAAGCACCAAAAATAGGATCACGTGGTTTAGGTAAAAGAAAGAGAAAAAGGTTAACTAACTTTATAAACAAAAAAAAAATAATTTCTTCAGAATCCTGGTCTCAGGATCATTATACAGCTCCTCCCATTAATTTAACTTACTCGACTTAATCGACAATTGCATTTACGACCTGCCTTGAAATGTACCAAAATTTTGTCAAATTACTTATTTTCGAGTCCCAACGTAAGCACACAGACAAATTTCGTTTATAATTCACTTTAAAATGGCTGTCAAGCTTAAAAGTGAGAAGAAAAGGACACCCATATTAGATTTTCTATGTATTATTTAAGCATTTTCACTTATTACCTGGATTTGGGTCCCTAACCCACAAAGTCGGGAGGACCTGTACAAGGACTTCACCAAAGGATAATGAGCACAATAATCAACAACAGTAAAACAGATTACAGTTCCTTACATCATAACAGAAGAAAACTCCACAAGTACCCTACACCAAACTTACCCAGAGACAGACTGTCAAACAGACCATGTCCCAGTAATGAGTTTCTGTCATAAAACCAGAAATTAAACAGCAGAAAAGTTATATAAAATCATATGTGATTTAGGAAGTGGAAACACACACTGGTACAGTACAGTATCTGGGAAAACTAATACAATAGGCAATTTTTTCTCAGCTGAAAAAGATGCCCCGCCTCCCCTCCAAGGGTTACAGCGATGTATTTCTAAATGAGCTTATTAATAATCGTTGATGACCGCTTTCTGACGAGAAAGATAAATAGCTAAATACAGAAAGATACATATATTCATTATTTCAAACATGAGCAAGTAGGAAATTTATCAGTCTTACCATGAATTAACTGTTAAACTGGTAACAAATTCATGCTTTCAGATGATGCATTTAATATACAGCTCTCCGACTTACGCACTGCATTTACGACCATCCGGACATACCACCGCTCCCAGTCGCACTAAAATTTCTTCAAATTACGTATTTTCGAGTCCCGACGTAGTGATTGCGCTTGTACTGAAAAATTTTTGTTTGTAATTCCCTTTAAAACGGTTGGCAAGCTTTAAAAGTGAGAGTTGTGGTGCTGAGAAGAAAAAGAGACACCCATTTTAGATTTTCTATGTATTATTTAAACATTTTCAACTTACAACCAATTAGACTTCACGACCTGGATTTGGGTCCCAACCCCATTGAAAGTCGGGAGGAGCTGTATATATTAAATGCATCCTCCAAAGGTGAAAAACACTATAGTACAGTATTTTAAGAACAATACTGACTGAGATACAATAGTGAACAATACCGACTGAGAGACAATAGTGGGAACAATACTGACTGAGACACAGTGGAACTAACATAGTGAACAAACGACTGAGACACAATAGTAACAATACTGACTGAGACACAATAGTGGGAACAATACTGACTGAGACACAGTAGTAGGGAACAATACTGACTGAGACACAATAGTGGGAACAATAACTGACTGAGACACAATAGTGGGAACAATACTGACTGAGACACAATAGTGGGAACAATACTGACTGAGACACAATAGTGGGAAACGACTAAGTAGGACAATACTGACTGAGACAATAGTGGGAACAATACTGACTGAGACACAATAGTGGAACAATACTGACTGAGACACAATAGTGGGGACAATACTGACTGAGACACAATAGTGGGAACAATACTGACTGAGACACAATAGTGGTGGGAAATACTGACTGAGACACAATAGTGGGAACAACCTGACCTGAGACACAATAGTGGAACAATACTGACTGAGACACAATAGTGGAATACTGACTGAGACATCAAGGAAGTAACTAAAGGTTATCCTGATGGAACTGTTGTCACGCTGGTCTTTGAAACAAGCATTAGATAATAGGTGGTATTTACCTGATGTGTGCCATAACTCTGAACCACAGGACAGTTCCCTCTCAGAACACACAGAGAACACAGTACAAGGCAGGCAGTGTGATGAGAGGTGATGGATGGTTTACTCTATATCTCAAAGCACTAAATAAATGACCAATCAGCCATAAAATCTCAGTATATCCTTAAAGACTAATTACCATAACAGGTTGAAGAAAAAAACACTGACCTTATTATCCTGTGGTTCATTGTTTCAGGATGGTGAATGGTATGTTAGAGAATGTGTAGATGGACGAGGTATGGACGAACATGAGATCGGTCAACACCTCACTGATGATATTCTTGCTGGGCATAAAACAGGATCCACCAGAATTTGATCTTTACTGGCTGGGAGTGTCTGGGAGCACCGGGTCTTCACTCTCTCATTCCAGGTGTTAAGAGGTATCGAGTTCAAGCACTGAAGAGCAGCATATAACATTAGCCACCTGAGATGAAGGAATAATTAGGTCATGGGGAGGTGATGGTTACAACATTAACAACATGGAACCCTAAGAAAATATCCCTATATTATGTGGACTAAATCTCTGGCAAGTAAATACTTGTACCAGTATCTCTGTGTACCATGAGAACTACTAACATCTATAACTGTTTAATTAAATCCAATTATACAATATCTGGCCAATATAACACAATTATATGTTCGTTATATTTCCTTCAAATTTATAAATACAATTTCAAACTTATCATCAGTTGTTCCTTAAATATAATACAGCAGCTTTATAAATCTTCTATAAAATACTCAACTAAAAAAAAATATATGACAGGTACTGCTTTAACCCTATGTGCTATGCCATATAATATCACCTGTGCTTTGTTTAAGTCCAATACAGCAGCCATTCATTTCTCTGACAACCCTCAGAGTCACCAGATAGAATACAGGTACAGTATCCCTGTTTTATGATATTTTGCTTAATGATGTTGATGTTTTAAAACAACCTTCCATTTATATAATAAAAAATTGACATTAACAATGGTCATCATTCAGCCAAACTCACTGACTCACAAAACATGGAATGCATCTTCGCTGCACTTAGCAGCCACAGCATCATCTACCCACGTGGCCACCCGTGCACTATCCCAAGCGATTTGAAGTCCGTTATATTGACTAAAAATGAAGTATATATGGTACCTCGTGTTTCATACCAGCTGGATTGGGTAAAGCTACTGACATCCATAAAAGGCACGGCAGTTCCCAATGGGAGGTTCACGCCATCAGCTCGATGAACAGGCTTGTGAAATATAAACATAGTCTAGAACTGCTTTTAGTGCCTTGTGGCATGGTCGGTAGGCCTGATCCACAGGTCGAGGTTCGAGTCCTGGCTGGTGAGGTCGTTGATTATGTGTTCAAAGTCCATGGGTTATATATCAAAAATGTATATAAATATATATATATATGCAAGTAACTAGAAGGCGCATGATCCAGGTATATGCTGATAAACACAAGGAAAGAAGAAAACACGGTTCCTTTTACATTTTCAGGGAGAGTACAGACTAAGGAGAAGTACAAACAAGGTGTATATATACAGAGGAGGGTGAGATCAGGGCTCACAATGGTCAGGTATGGTAGTGACCTTACTAATCTTTTAAAAAACACCAACGGGTCAGCAGTCAGGTCAGAGGAAGTGACAACCTTCTCACCTGGTTACAAATCTTCTAATTACAAAATTGTCTAGTTTGTACATGCCATTACTCAAATTCATGTTGACTGCTTCGGTATGTTTAATGAGACTAGATTCTATAATGTTCCACTGTCAATTGAATTACAAGGTAATATTGAGGAGGCATTATCCCAGTCAATGCTATTATCCCTCAGATGAACAAACAGAGCATTGGATTCCTGGCCTGTCCTAACACATATATTTATGTTGTTTAAGTCTAGTTACAAGATCTTTACCTGTCTGCCTAAAAACATATATTACATTCCTTGCAAGGAACTTTATAAATGCAATCAACTGTGTTGTTGGGGAGTTCTTGATTAACATTTGTTTAACAGTGCATGAGTTTTTAAATGCCACATTGACGCTCAGGTTTTTAGTTGTAGGAATTTGAGAGAGAATTTTGAGAAATGGTAATACTAAGAGATTCTTATGGTCGGTGGGCTTGGGATCAGTTCTATAAAAGATTTTTAGTAATGTTCAGCATTTGTCAAGAAAGATTAAGGTATTGTCAATATTATAGATATATTTATATTCCTCATCAATGAATTCGGCTGCAAATTTTCAAAGCATATCGAAAAACATTGTTGAAAATACTGATTTGACTTATTATGGTGGGCAGAATAACAATGAATGTATGAACACACATTAGTAGATTTTCTATAAATACTGAACTTAAAGGTGTTACCTATTCTGTGTATCAGACTGTCTAAGAATGACAATTTACAGTCATGATCTAATTCTACAGTGAATTTGATCGAAGGGGCTAAGTTAATGTGGCATTTAAAAACTCATGCACTGTTAAACATCCAGTACCTTGAGTAATTGTGTTAAGCAGGGCGTCCCAGCATAAACCGTGTTGGCAGTTCTTTGGGGTTGTTTCATAGTAGATGTTCCATCATGGCATCTCTTATAATACTCTCAAGTACTTACAAACTATGCTGATCAGGCTCACTGGTCTATAATTATTCATGGAGTGACAATCACCCTTCTTGAATAGGACTCATATGCCATTTTATTCACTGGGGACCTTTTGCTCATCAGGCATTTACAGAACAGGATCAGGCTCAGCAAGCTCATTGCCTCTCTTAGCACTCTAGGATGCACCATGTCAGGGCTGGGACTCTTATGGACTTTTAGCTTTGACAGTTTATTTCTAATACCCTCTTCTGTGAACACAATGTGGGTCAGTGCTGTGTCAAACCACCTGAACTCAAACACAGGAAGGTTAGTTATCCTCTCTTGAACACCGAGGAAAAGCTGTTCAATGCCTCAACTTTGTCCTGGTCAGAATCTGTGTAACTATACTAGCGTCAGGTCTGATACTCTACTGCATTTTTAATTTCGACTTTGCATAGCGGTAAAACTCCTTTGGGTTTGACTTGACCTCGCTTGCAACCAGCCTCTAAATCTTTTTCAGCCCTTCTTCACTGACTTTGCTTGGTTCTGGCTCTTGCCTACATCCTCCTGTCCTGCTCATCAGGAATTTCTGATTTCTTCTTAAATTTGTCGACCGCCATATGGTTCCAATGCTGGTCTCCTTGTATTCCTGGAGGCACTAGTTTGGTCTTGGGTATATATTTATCGATCAAATGGTTCACTTTACTGGCTATGATATTCAGCCTAGTGTCTGTGTTCTTATATCTTCCGTGAGTCAGGCCAGCGAGTACCCTCATCTTCCTCATTCCGTCGTAATTACCCTTGTATTTACTGCCAGCCCTGGCCTTATCATGAACTAGGTAACAGTTAAATCTGAATGACAACACTACGCATGGTCGGCTGGTGCCAACTAGGCTAGAATGTTCCAGTTTGGCCACCACCCTCTAGATGCAGCGAGAGGGTAGGTTGTCCGCCCTCGTTTGCGTTGGCGGCCCCTCGGGGAGGTGAAGGTCGCTGCCCTCATCGCGGCAGAAGACACGATCCAGCCGTCCACAGCTGTTACTTCACCCGCTTGTCAGGGCTGTAACGAGCAGGATGGTTGCCCGCTCGTTTGTGGTGAGCCGAGGTGAAGCGTCACTGCTGCCTCGACACACAGATCAGACACTACCCAGTAATCGCAGCAGCTGTACTTATACCCAGCTGTTCGTTCAAATTCTGGTTGTGATCTTATCCATATGTCCTGGGCTCATATGGCTGATTCCCAGACCTTCTAATCTGCCCGCGTCATCATCACTTCCTCCACCGTCTGTGCCCTGGCGTCTCTCTTGTGTGGCAGACATCACCCACCAACACCTGTAAGCGAGAAGCTGCCCTGGACCTTCCCCCTGAGGCGGATCACAGTACCAGAACATTCTACAGGGCTTGGGGCGGATACTCAAAACACCTCATAAGTTACGTCCTTTAGCATGATACAGTACCATATATTGTGAATCTTTACAGTACGTAAATTTAGCATACTAAAAATTTAATTACAGTACCATTTAGCCTTTCGTAAGTTTTCATAACTCTAGTGTTTACCCTGTAAATTAAGTTCTCTTGTCGGAAGGTAGATGTCAGTGCAAGGCTAGTTGGCCTAATCAGCGCTCCAGTTAACAAAATCATCAACCAATCAAAGAGAAGGAAATCAGCTGAGCAGGCATACATAATATTATTGTAAACATGGAAGGACCACCAGCAGAAGAGCGGCTAATTTCAGTGAGGCTGAATGTAAGCTATTCTGGGCAAATTCAAATAAATTGGTTATTGATAGCATAGCCTTGCGAACCTAAATGACAAATCACTTCTCTTAAATTACTCATTTAGCCTAGACCCATGGTGTTTTCCTTTCAATGTTGGGGACATTTAGTCTGAATTGTCTTCAAGTTCATACAAAAAACAACAATTTAAAACCTGAAAATATATCGGATTAGCCAATTTTCTTAAATTAATACTCTACCTATGATAATGTTCAAGAAAGTCTGGAACTAGGCCTAAGGTAGCTGCTCAAACAAAAGTGTCTCACTATGCCTGACCCTCACCAAATAACAATAACCACATTCTCTAAGCTAACCTACATACCATAACATAACCAAACCAAACCAAACTATACCTATACCCTATTGGTATAATTTCTTATTTAAATAATCCTCATGTTCTAACTAAATTAAGTAGGCCCCACATTTAAACATTTATTTGCCTAAGACAAGCAGTTATATAGGCCTATAAATCAAGTTATTTGCAATCCATATTTTACGCCTATCATTTAATTTTGGCTAGCCTATGGAAATTTATAGCCTTTCATGTTATCATAAGCCATATACATAGAAAATAGGCTAAGGCTATTGGTTGAATATTAGAAAAACAAAATGAAGTCTTGGCAGGAATATTCACTTGACCTCATATTTGGCTTTTCATTACTGAGGGATATTCTGACCATACAACATTAATAAGTTCCATCTGCAAGTTTACTCAGTCATAAAACATATTTTTTACCCTAAGTGTGAACAATACAACCTTCTGTTTTGGTAAAAATACTTTATAATGTGTAAGAAGACAAAGATCGTCTCTTCCAAACTGAGACACATACAAACACTCCAAACACGCTTATTATACAACAAAAAGTTAAAAAAAGACAAGTGAAATATATATTTCAGTATGTTGAGTGTACAAAACATTTTCTTCATTATTCTATGATAAAACAAGTCTAACAAGCATTATTACAACATATATTATTATTTTTTATACAATAGAAATTAGTCGCTACTACATCCGGGTTGAGAGTGTTACAAACCTCAGGAGCTGGTGTAAGATCGTTAAGCTTTAACTACTGAGTTCGATGTCAAATATTGGTTTTGGTACAGGTAGTTCTGCTATACGCGATAATTGTGTTCTTGTAAAATATCATATATAGAAAGTAATAATAGAAATAACAGGGCTTATGGAAAATAGGGTTAGGTGCAGATTACTCGAAATCGAAAAAATTTAGTAGTTAGCTAACACAAGGATAGCACAGTCTAAATAAATGTTACATTCATATCTAATAATGAAATCATACAGTAAATGTAACACTTTACTTGATGGGGAAAGGGTGATTTTGAGGTTGATAAAATCGAGCTTCTCTTCAAGTGTTATATCTCTTTTACTATCATCACGGAAATTCTATCCCAGAACGCTTCTTGTTGATATTCTTCTTTACTATATTACATTATTTAATTTTTTTTTCTTTTTCTAATTTATTGTTTTTTTATTACAAATATTAATGATATTCTATATTTCAGGGTTTAGATGCATATTTATGCACTTTTTTACAATTTTACAATTTTATATTATATTTTTCAGTGTAAGTAGTTTGTATTGGGGCCTGAAACGGATTAATCCTATAACGAATGAACCTGCTTCTAATGAACATTCCCAGTAGATTAGATTATAGCATACTAACCACCACAAAATTGGAGAAATAGTAAGCAAAATCGCGTTATAGCAAATAATGCTCGCTTATACAAATATAGTCCTAATTCATAAATACGGCGTTGGAGCAATTCGTTATCAAAACCAACATAGCAGAACTCACTGTATACCATCTCTGTTTTTGAATATGCCAAACTGAGACTGTAAGTCCAGTTACGGGTACCTAACGACCTGATCCCATAAATGTTTTTGATATCCGCCCCTGGTTAGCAGGAATATTCACCACAGCCGAAAATACCCATACTGTTGTATTAATTATTTTTGTTTTAGCAATGTTGGTTCAGTGCTGTTTATTTAATATTTGTGGAGTAAACAGAGTTCAACTATTGCATTTTTCGCCAAAAGAGATGTCAATCTCTAACGGTTTTTGTTACCTTGAAACCCATGTTTCTTAAATTTTTTTTATAAGATCCTGATTAAATGGTGATTATATCCCACAGCCACATTACACCTTCTTGTTTGTTATGATGAGGTCAAGTGGCTTGGTGTTGCTCCTCTCTGTAATGTGTCATAGAACAGAAAATTACCTCTCAGAGTTTCTACAAAAAGAGTAGTGAGTTATTCAGTCATTGAAAATTGCTTCTGTCATTTCATAGTTAAAGTCCCCTATGAGGTGGATGAGCTTAGTCGACACTGCTGCCTGATGAGCCTGCCTTTGGTTTAATAACTACAGTTGACTGTAGATACACCACAACAAGTAAGCCTCTTTTTAATTTCACCACTGACTTTTCAAAAACATCCTCTCTGTACCCTCGCCTCTGGCTCTAAGATCTTGCCTAGCATAGAAACCACAAAGTTTTTGAGAAAGATTCAGTAAATGCATCCGCCACAATATCAACCACATTCTCAAACATCTCCTGCTTGCAGTCTCTACAACTCCAACAATATTGGGTTGGTGTACCGTCAGTAGTGTTTCAAACTCCTCTCACTAAGGAACGCGGTCAGTATTAGTGTACATGACATTCAAGCCAGAATTTGTTCTCGTAACGCCTCTGCTCTTAGTAGTACCGTAATCGCCCTCCTCCATTCTTTCAGAAGCTGCATATCCAGGTACACTGTATTTTGCAGGGTGTGGTTAGAATGCCATTGTTTACACATCGCCGCCTCCTGGGTGGGAGGTGAGCTGGTGCCTCCTCCTGGAGGGAGGTGAGGTACCCCTGAACCTCGCCGTGTCGTGTTGTTTATTTACATAATTATATCCCCAGTTAACAGAAAATTTATTAAATGATAACACATTACATATGAATTATGACTGATGTAATCGAATGAAAATTAATTATATGATGTTGCACAAGACAAAAGAAAATACAAACTGTATGACAGAGTTGTAAATAATAAAATGTTAATGTTTTAACCATATAAATTATATCTCTATAACATTAAATAATGATATAAACATATCACTATAATATGACAGAGTTGTAGCTTGTTTCGCCAGTGTTTACTTTGAATTTAACAATGTTATATATTTTCATGTACAGCAATCACGATATAAAAATTATATATATGTCCGTATTTACTCTAAGGACCTTCACATAACATATGTCATGACTTGGGGTTGCAAATATGGAAACAGCACTAGATACACTGGAAAATGCTATAAGAAAAATGTATTTAGTTTATTTTTTATTTATTATTTTTTATTAAATTTTCTGTGATATTGTAAGAGAAGTATTGAATTTGTCTCTTCTGAGACTAAATGTAAAATTCAAACACAATCATTAAAGACAATTACAACACCTGTGAGGATAAGCTTGCTTTCCAGCTCACCCTTCTCCCCACCTGTGTGGTAGTACAGTATAAGAACCAAATCCAAAAAAAGTCACAAGAAAAAATGTCACAGATAAAAAGGCACGGAAAACCTAATATAACCTAAGCTAAACCTAACCTAACTTAACCTAACCTAACCTATTGCAATGCCAATATATATATATTGTGTTGTCAATGTGTACAAATCATGTAACTTTTTTTCCTCTGGACTTTATTTCCGCCTCACCATAAGAACCAGACACTAAGGTACAAGTAATGATAAGAACCACACTAAGGTAAAGTACTGTAATGTATAAGAACCAGACACTATGGTCAAGTACTTAATGTATAAGTACCAGACACTACAGTATGTATACTGCAATGTATAAGAACCAGACACTATGGTACAAGTATCAGAATGGAACCAGACACTAAGGCAAGTACAATGTAAGAACCAGACACTAAGGTACAAGTACTGTAATGTATAAGAACCAGACACTAAGGTACAAGTACTGTAATGTATAAGGAACCAGACACTAAGGTACAAGTACTGTAATGTATAAGAACCAGACACTATATATCGTAATGTATAAGTACCAGACACTAACGTACAAGTACTGTAATGTATAAGAACCAGACACTATACAAGTACTGTAATGTATAAGAACCAGCACATCAAGTACAAGTACTAATGTATAAGAACCAGACACTAAGGTACAAGTACTGTAATGTATAAGAACCAGACACTATACAAGTACTGTAATGTATAAGAACCACATAAAGGCACAAGTATAAAATCTGAAATGAACCAGACACTAAGGCAAAGTACTGTAATGTATAAGAACCAGACACTAAGGTACAAGTACTGTAATGTATAAGAACCAGACACAGCAAGTACTGTAATGTATAAGAACCAGACACTAAGGTACAAGTACTCAATGTATAGAACCAGACACTACAAGTACCAAATGTATAAGAACCAGACACTCAAGGCACAAGTACTGTAATGTATAAGAACCAGACACTATCAGGCAGCACGTAATGATAAGAACCAGACACCAAGGTACAAGTAAGGCACGACACTAAGGTACAAGTACTGTAATGGTAAGAACCAGACACTATGGTACAAGTACTGTAATGTATAAGAACCAGACACTAAGGTACAAGTACTGTAATGTATAAGAACCAGACACTACAAGTACTGTAATGTATAAGTACCAGACAACTAAGGTACAAGTACTGTAATGTATAAGAACCAGACACTAAGGCAAGTGTACTGTAATGTATAAGAACCAGACACTAAGGCAAGTACAGTAATGTATAAGTACCAGGAATTATCAAGTACTGTAATGTATAAACCAGACACTAAGGTACAAGTACTGTAATGTATAAGAACCAGACACTAAGGTACAAGTACTGTATAGAACCAGACACTAGGGTACAAGTACTGTAATGTATAAGAACCAGACACTAAGGTACAAGTACTGTAATGTATAGAACCAGACACTATGGCAAGTACTGTAATGTATAAGAACCAGACACTATGACAAGTACTGTAAAGTTAACCAGACACTATGGTACAAGTACTGTAATGTATAAGAACCAGACACTATGGTACAAGCACTGTAATGTATAAGAACCAGACACTAAGGTACAAGCACTGTAATGTAAGAACCAGACACTATGCACAAGTACTGTAATGTATAAGAACCAGACACTAAGGTACAAGTATTCGTAATGTATAAGTACCAGACACTATGGTACAAGTACTGTAATGTATAAGAACCAGACACTAAGGTACAAGTACTGTAATGTATAAGAACCAGACACTAAGGTACAAGTACTGTAATGTATAAGAACCAGACACTATGGCAACAAGTACTGTAATGTATAAGAACCAGACACTAAGGTACAAGTACTGTAATGTATAAGAACCAGACACTAAGGCACGAGTACTGTAATGTATAAGAACCAGACACTAAGGTACAAGTACTGTAATGTATAAGAACCAGACACTAAGGTACAAGTACTGTAATGTATAAGAACCAGACACTAAGGTACAAGTACTGTAATGTATAAGAACCAGACACTAAGGTACAAGTACTGTAATGTATAAGAACCAGACACTAAGGTACAAGTACTGTAATGTATAAGAACCAGACACTAAGGTACAAGTAATTGTAATGTATAAGAACCAGACACTAAGGTACAAGTACTGTAATGTATAAGTACCAGACACTAAGGTACAAGTACTGTAATGTATAAGTACCAGACTTTCACATAACTTATCCACTGTAGTGTCTGGTACTTATACAAATTATAAATAATAATTCACTACATACCTTGAGACCAGCCCTCTTAAGACAGCATCAGACAGCTCTTGTACACTGACATTCATGAAGCGGAGGAATGAGAAACATTTTCTGGTTTCATTCTCTGAAACATAGAATAAAACCTTAGAGCAAAATCAATCAATTCTTCATATAGTTTATACTGTTTACAGGAACAATATTTCACCACAAGTTTGGTAAAGTTTAATGTGTGCAACTGACATGAGAAATGTGATGTTGTGTGGCAGTGAATCATGGCAAAGAGGATGATGACATGCTGGCTTGAGAGAACTAAATGAGAAAGGTGAGGTAGATGTGTAGTGTGACAGTGAATGACAGGTGACTCTGTTCAGAACTAAGAAGGCAATAGGTATTGACAGTACAGTACAGTACAGTACAGTACAGTACAGTACAGTACATAAGATCGAAAATAAATAAATAAGAAAAAGTAATACTGTTAAAATACAATTTCATTTACCTTAATGCTACCATAATTCTGCTTCCAAAGTGGAGTGATGGTACTGTAACTCAAATTACATTTGAGGCACATCAGGATGTTGGCTATTGGGTGAACTAAAATTGTTCCGACTACGGGAGTTTCCGACCACAGAATGCCGGACTAGAGAGGTACAACCTGTACTACTGTACTATCTCTCTCAGTTCAGCCACAGCTCTATAAACACTGAGTAACAAGCTGTCCAAGGTGATAACTGTGAGTTTACACCAGTGACACACTGTGCATTGTGGCAACCAAACACACCCAAGTTCAATTGTCTTCTGCCCAAGCTCCTCAACACCCACCTCTCTGAGATGCCTGATCCATACTCATTATATACTGGGACCTCAAAATCAATCCTCATTCTTAACTGACACAGTGGATGAGACGACTCATGTACACAGTCAATCGGAGAATGTAGGCATGAGCCCTAAGCAACAGCCCTTTATCTCAGTAAAGAGCACCACAGGTTTACAGGTGCCTGAAGTGAGTGTCCAGATATCAGTAGAAGAGTAGCCTCTCTAATACTCCTCTCCTGCAGGACTGACTCCAACAACAAGTCTCTCAGGAAGGCCAAAAGAAACATACTCCTCAGGGCAACAACACAGAGGAGGAAAAACAACTTCCAGTCACATGAAAGCCCATCAACTCTTTTTTTCCCCATGATTTAACACCTAAAACCCAATAAACTTGTCTGATCCTAAATGTAGCAATGGACTGTTTCTCTGAGTAAAGAAAATGAAAGAATCATCTATCCAATTCCAAGCCTGATGTATTATCTGTCAACCCCAACATTTGGCATCTGGTTTACTGACAACATTAATACTCTGTTAATAATGATACTGAATTTTTAGAAGAACTGGCACTTTTGAGAAACAAAAGACAAGCTATTATTATTATTATTATTATTATTATTATTATTATTATTATTATTATTATTATTATTATTATTATTATTGATTGAGATATATCCCTGGGTTGTGTCAGTAAGTTCTGCTACCTGGGTGACATGATCAGTGCTGGAGCTGGTCAAGAAGCTAACTCAGCTGCTAGAGTCAAAAGAGGCTGAAGAAGTTTAGAAGCTATTGCTTTTACTGACAGCAAGAGAACCTTCTTCGCTTGAGAGGAAATATATACTGTATGTAGTGAGCACAAGAAGTGTGGTGTTGTACGCAGTAAAAAATGGGTGGTTAAAGAGGATGACAAATGTACACTTGAGTGAGACTATGGTGAGATGGATGAGTAATGTAAAGTTGTGAGATAGGAAATCCTGTTCAGAGATAAGAGGGCAGCTAGTGTGGTTTCAGTAGAGGAAGGCTGAGATGATTCAGGCATGTGGAGAGAATAGCGGTGAACAATTGGGTCAAGAAATGCAGTAGTTTTGAATGTGAAGGGATGAGAGCCCGGGGAGGGCCAGAATGTCAGGGGAGAGGTTGTGAGAAATGATTTCAGAGATTACTGCACCACCTAACACGAGATGGAGCAACCTGAAGCTGGCATCTGGTCATCATGGCTAACCCACACACTCACACATGGATATGATGATGATGTTCACTAAAACTCTGTCCATATTGACACAGTAGTGAAGACCAAGAGAAGGTAAGTCTTCCTGTTCCTGGTTTTGGTTAAGAAGAAGGCCTTGTAAGGAAGCTTCCCGCTTCCTCTCTCCCTTACAGCTGAAGAATAAGAAAAACATTGTTGAGGTGAGGATGCTCTGAACATCAATATGTTCCTTTAAGGAGAAAAGGATGGGTCTCAGAGAACTCCTCACCTTGCACTTGGGGCTGGATTTGTTGCTGGAAAATGCCCAGCTCAAACTTGAACTTGTCTATTTTTTTTTTAGGTCCGTTACATTGTCAAGAAACAAGCTTGGCTTCAGGAACAAACAGTCTCCCCCAAACAGAGGAAAGTCAACAGAGGCTCCAAGAAGACAAACCAACTCCTTCCTAACTGACCAATGAGAATCAGCATATGACTTACAGCAGAAAAACAAAGTTCAACAGCTCCACACTGGACTCACCAACTAATAACTTATGATAGAGCTTCAAAGGGTATATATTACCCTGGTGAACCCAAAGACATAGAAACATGGAAAATTACCTACATTATACTGAGTAATGCATACACACGTACATTTGTCCTTTCTCCATAAGCTGAGGCCTGATACAAGGTCAGTACTGTACATCTCTTCTGTGAGAGTCCCAAACGGCGGCGTCCACTCTCCCAGGCGTCACTCTCCCACCTGGCGGAACGTCACTCCCACCTGGCGGGCGTCACTCTCCCACCTGGCGTCACTCTCCCACCTGGCGGAACTTCACTCTCCCTTAGGCGGAGATGCTCTCCCCACCGGCGGAGCGTCCTCCCATGGCGGAGGCGTCACTCCTGGCGGAGGCGTCACTCTTACCTGGCGGAGACGTCACTCTCACCTGGCGGAGACGTCCCTTCCTGGGAGACGTCACTCTCCCACCTGGCCCACTCTCCCACCTGGCGGAGACTTTCACTCTCCCCACATGGCGGAGACGCTACCTCTACCTGGCGGAGATTCACTTCTCACCTGGCGGAGACTTCACTTTCCCACCTGGCGGAGATGTCACTCTCCTGGCGGGACGCCACTTACCTGGCGGAGACGTCACTTTCCCACCTGGCGGAGACGTCACTTACTCTGGCGGAGATTTCACTTCTCTACCTGGCGGAGATTTACTCTCCCACCTGGCGGAGACGTACTTACCTGGCGGAGAGCGTTACTTCTACCTGGCGGAGACGCTACTTTCCCTACCTGGCGGAATTTCACTTCTACCTGGCGGATATTTCACTCTCCACCTGGCGGAGACTTCACTCTCCCACCTGGCGGAGCGCTACTCTCTACCTGGCGGAGACGCTACTCTACCTGGCGGAACTTCACTTTCCACCTGGCGGAGAGCGTCACTTTCCCACCTGGCGGAGACCTTCACTTTCCCACCTGGCGGAGACGCTACTCCCCCATAAAGCCCAAAAATCCAGGTGAAGGACCTCTCTTCTCTACAAGATACAAAAAGCCTACTGTCCACATCCTCCTGTAACAACTCAAAACCTGATGAAGGTCTTGGGGCCAAGGTGTAACCACAATCCAGTATGAGGAGAGGAGGTGAAGCCTTAACAACACTCCTTAATACAGGAACAATTTATCAACACTCCTGTTCACCCACCAAAGTCTCACCAGCAGCTTGACACTTCTCAAGACACTGAACGGAGCCACTACCAAAGTTTCATAAGAGAAGCAAAACTACAGCTTTTAATATATAGTGATCCTCGGTTAATGTTTACTGGGCAATCGGGATTTTTGGTTAACGATTTACCTTCCATAAGATTCTAACTTCGTTAATGAGCAATCCCGCGATAACAAGTTTTTAACGAGCTACTTATTATATTTTTCACTTGCATTTGGCGTCCACCAGCTGTAGTATTAACTACCAATACAGTAATCGGTTCTAGGGCTTAAATTTTTTACTATTTTAGTAAATATCAAAAGTTCATACAATTCAATAATTTAACAAATTAATATTAAATTTTTAGTCATTTTAACAATTGTTGAACATAATTGAAGTATAGGAAACTAGTTTTTTATGCGCCAAACAGCCTGTCAACACACCACATACAGAAGGCCAGTCTCTGTGTCTTTCAGTGGAGGTAACATCTTGCTTCAGACTCTTCAACTAAACACTTTTTTTTCTGTTTCCAGCAAATTATTGGCCAATTTGAAATTTATTTTACATATTGACAATATATAATGCAGTGCAGTGTTGATTTAAAGAAAATAATCTTGAATTACACCAAGAGAACTAAATTTTATGGGATGACATCATGGGTGACTCTTCCAACCCCAATGCCTTCTTCCTCTCCTCTACCCCATTCTAATTCCCATCATCATCATCATCATCATCATCCAGAGCTTACATACACACCTCAAAGTAAGTGTACTTTTACTACCTTTTTTGTTGATTTTAGGCAATTTTCGGGAGCTGAACCAATACCCAAAAAACCCATTGAAACAATGGTTGTCAATGTTGACCTTCTGGAATGAATTGTGCTCGTTAACCGAGGACCACTGTGCTGTTCTATATGACCATAATGGTTTGACCTCATCATGAAATCCTCCACTGATTCCTACACTTGTAGCAGATGACACGATACAACTACTGTAGTGTAAATATTAAAGTAGCAATACCCAGGCAGGCAGGTAAGCCACACATCCCACAGAGGCTTAGCAATAAATCTAACACCACCAAGCAGCATGCAAACACCTGCCTAAAAGGTCTGACTCCAAGAATAAAAAATTTTGAATCTAAAACACACCAAACTAAAGGAAAATGACCATCAAAAGAGACAAAGTAAACACAGAGACCTGCATGATGAAGCACTATGTACAGTTTCCTGCTATAACGCTTTAACCTTACAAGAACAACACTTGCCACTGTGATCAGGCTGGTACAATAGAATGAATATTGACTTCTCAAGAGTTAGCACAAGGCAGCTGATTCGTAGGCAGACAGACATCACTATAATTCTTTAGCATTTAATTTATCATATTTATATTCTGATATTTTAACCTCGAGCACTTTAATACGCGATTCAAATCGTATTCGTGATAAGACCAACTTCACGATGACCTAAATCGAGTCACCAAACTTTAAAAAATTGCCCTAATAATAAGTTTTCTACAGAATTGTGTCAAATTTGATGTGCCATAGTAGCAAGTAAGTTCTATCAACTAAACTAATTGGCAACGCTTTGGGCTTATAGGAAGGGAAGACTGAACAATAAATGTGCAGTATTATCTCAGCAGTCAGTCGGAGTGTGAGCCGTGTCCATTTAAATTTCCATAACTCGGCAGGCTGCCTCAACTCCTGATTACAGTGCTTACCCGACCTTGAAATAATTTATTTTTAAAGTTAGTGAAGTGAATGTAACAATTTTTCATATTTACGAAAATGTTTAGTTTTCAAAAGCCATTATCATATCAGGCTATACAACCTCGTTACAGTGACAATGTCCAAAAAGAGTCTCTGAAAGAGGATGATTTTCAAGACTTACATGAATTTATCAGTACCATTCTTTTCGCTAGAGTGCTGGCAAGTTGCAATATAATTTATACGATCTAAAACATAGGCACAAAAATAAACGAATATTTTTTTACCATTTGAAAGGTTTTTTCCTTTTTTCTCAAACAATATTGAACATATCAGAACGATTACTGCGTTGGAAAGCTCATAAAATTCTGCTTCTGGCAGTGTATAGTATAGTAGTTAAACAGTTGACTCAGACAATTTTGAGGTGGGGAGGTTGTAAACATATTGGTTGTTTTTTTCCCATGTATTAGAAGTGATAAAAAGCTGATACTTTGTATTATTCTTTTTGCCAAAGTTGAGGTCAATGATTTATGAAGCCAAAGATATATGGGTTAGGCCAATAAAACAAGTTTGGGGGAAATTGATAAAGTAAAGAATATCACTATGTGCTCTCTTGTCTGCCTTGGGGAGCCTCTCAGAATTGTGATCTTGGAACTGGTAACTTAAAACTTATCTCACACGAGAGGGTTAAGAGATAATAAGTCTTGTATATTATCTCCTATAATTTCCCAATTGAGGAAGCAAAATTAGTACTGTTGTCATGGTCACGTTTAGCAGTTAGTCCGCTTCAACACTTGTACTGTATTCATATTATGCTACAGTGCCCACAAAACACATGAACGTTTGAGTCTCCAGTAGAGACATCCGTTCTCTAATCACTTCAGTGTCTTAGTCCTCCACTTTCCTTTGTGTACTTCATCAGGGACCCAGGTATTTCTGTATACTTCCCAGGGCATTCCCAAATTTGAAATTTTGAGTGAATGAATTTATTTAGTCAATTAGGTACACCTACCATGAGAGGAAAAGAGTCTAGATGTATTGAGTATAAGTTGGAGGCATCTGTATCCTATATGTCGAGTATTTTGTGTTAAGAGATTATGTGTTGAATACTCTGTTTACCAGCTGTAAATCATATGTTTGTGTGTTCTTACGAGGCGGCCGTTCATAGCTGAAGTCATTCAGTTTTGATATATGAGCATTAGGAATTCATGGAAACATAGAGAGTATTGCCAGTCTTTATTATAGAAGTTTGATAATTGTCTGAAATGTAAACACAAAACGATTTATCACGAAGTTTAATGTTAAGCCGTTATCTGTCCCTCCCCACACTGCCATTCAAAGTATTTGTCGCCAGTTTTTCTTGTCTTTGAGAGCTCAGTTACTGTTAAGTTTGAAAAGCAATAGAAGATTTGAATAAGTTAAGTGAACTCTGATTTTTCAAACACCGCTGTGTAGAGCAATTTAGTCTGTCGATTTTCTAAGTGACGGCGGTAACTCACGTTTGGGAGGCGTCGGTGAGAGAGTCCTGACCTCACTCACTCCACCCATGATTTCCATCCCGCTACAAAGGTAAGGTCCAGTGCCCGTTCTATCTCAGTATATTAAGTGTTTTTATTTAATTATTTGTTGTTTGAATATGCAGTGATCAATTAACAGTTCTTGATGTTTAAGTAGTGTTCAAGCGCCTTCAGCCTAGCAATGTTACGTTATTCGTGTCACTCACTCACTCCACCCACGATTTCCAACCGAGAGAGAGAGAGAGACCCTGGTTGGTTGGTGTATGTCCAGACAACGTCCACATAGTCCAGCATCTTTGTTAGAGAAGGATGGAGGCCTTGTGAGCAGATAGCATCATGTAACACAGTCGGGGTGAGCCCAGATCTCACCCACAGGTCAGCAGCCAAGCTCAGCCAGCAGCTGGGAGATTGTTGGCCTGAGCCGCTAACCATCCACTTGTTGCCTGCCCGGTGAACATAAACGTGACCAGCCTGCAGGGTTGTTGTGCTATGAGTCCACCTCTGAGTAGTGCGTGGGGTTGTAATTTCTGCCTGTGTATTCTGGTATGTCATCTCCAATTGGTACGAGTGTCTGGTGTTAACATAGTGTGAAGGTCAGCCACATTTTCTTGGCTATGTAACAGAGTATCAAAGGAGGTATACTTGGGATGCCCGTGTTACGAGTCCTGTTCTATCAACGAGAACAATCAGGTTCACTGTGTTGTTGTTGGATCCCAAGTACTCTATGTATATTTACAGTGTATATGTTTTCTACAGGTACACCAAGTACTGGGTGATTGTAAAATATGTAAGGTACCTTTGTTGACAAGTGTCTGAGTATTGCCATGGAGTTGATATTGGCACTAGTTGTGTGTACTGGAAACAGGTCAGAAGTCTTGCATTATTTTAATAAACCTTTTTATTGTATGTTAAAGGTATTATTTTCCCACATTGCCCACCTTTATGGCTCCCTATATCTTGGTACCATTATTACATTTACCCAGCACGTCTTACCCTCGAGTTATGCTACCACAGGTCAGATGTTAAGTCAGAGAGTACAGTAGTTGTTTAAGTACAGTAGGGGACAGAGAGAAAAGTAAAGTCAAGTATTATAGGAAGTAGACCCCTATAATAGGTGACAGCGGCTTCGTCCCACACTGGATGTGAAATGCACTGGTAATAATGATGTCATAAAGAAAACACGAACATCATGAACAAATTCTGGGACGAACTCTTCCTCGCTGCCAGGTGACGAATGCAGCACGTGTGAATGAGGTCCCCACAACAAGGCCCCAAATGTCCCCCACAACAAGGCCCCAAATGTTACCTACAACAAGGCCCCAAATGTCCCCAAACAAGGCCCCAAATGTTACCTACAACAAGGCCCCAAATGTCCCCACAACAAGGCCCCAAATGTTACCACAACAAGGCCCAAAATGTGCCCTACAACAAGGCCCCAAATGTCACCCACAACAAGGCCCCGAATGTCCCCCACAACAAGGCCCCAAATGTCCCCACAACAAGTTCACACCACCATTTGTCCATACCTCTAACCCACAATATCTATGGGTAAGTTATCATTTAATTATCAAGAAATACCTTTTTATCTTGCTGGTCAAAACTAACAAGCAACTTTATTATGACAAGAAATGTATACTCACCTTTTGTTAGGCTGGAGGACATAGTCAGCATGAAAGACTGAGAAGCGGTTGTACAACAGGTGGTGTTTACTTGGGCTGGCATCAAGGAAGAAAGCTTCACGGAAGACAAGCTTGGGTATGATGTAAGGCTCTGGGACGCCGGGTGTACGGTGATCGCACCTCTTCGCCTCCAGAGGCTCGGGGTGGTTGCACACCTGAGTGAGTTAATATGCTATTGAGTTGTTGTCTTAATACTCGCCTCCATAAGGCATCTTTACGGAGGCGCGTCGGGGAATTTCAAAATGAATGCTGCGACTCTTGTTGTCTCGTGGAGTTGTCAAAATTCTCCGTCCCATTGCTAACACAAAATGTTAATGATACTTTATGGAGCGAGAGGTACAGGCAGCATTACCATTTTTATTACCATTCTTTCACTCAACAAAGAACCTCATTAATTTACACTATACTGTACTGTACTATATAGAGGTACTGTAGCTGTTGAATTATCCAATAATTTACATCTAAGAAGTAAATTTACACAACTGTTGTCAGCAACATTGGTGAAACATGTCAGTTTACATGTTGCACTCTGAGGGAACACAGTAAGGAAGACAGACAACTAGCCTTACAGTAAGGAAGACCAAGACAGCCACACTAACACGGTAAGAGCCAAGTGTATACACTAACACAGTAGGAAGCCAGGAACCCAACCACTAACACAGTAAGGAAGACAAGACAACCACTAACACAGTGGAAGCCAAGACAACCACTAACACAGTAAGGGAAGACAAGACAACCACTAACACAGTAAGGAAGACAAGACAACCACTAACACAGTAAGGGAAGACAAGACAACCACTAACACAGTAGGAAGACAAGACAGCCACTAACACAGTAAGGAGACAAGACAACCACTAACACAGTAAGGAAGACAGAGGCCAGCCACACTAACACAGTAAGGAGACAAGACAACCACTAACACAGTAGGAAGACAAGACAACCACCCAACACAGTAAGGAAGACAAGACTAGCCACTAACACAGTAAGGAGAAGACAAGACAACCAATAACACACAGTAGGAAGACAAGACAGCCACTAACACAGCAAAGAGAGAGAGACAAGACAACCACTAACACAGTAAAAGGGAAGACAAGACAACCACTAACACGGTAAGGAAGACAAGGGCGGCCACTAACACAGTAAGGGAAGACAAGACAGCCACTAACACAGTAAGGAAGAGACAAGACAGCCAATAACACAGTAGGGGAAGACAAGACAACCAATAGCACAGTAGGGAAGACAAGACAACCACTAACACGTGGTAGGGAAGACAGAACCAACCACTAACACAGTAAAAGAAGACAGACAACCAATAACACAGTAAGGAAGCCAAGAGACAACCACTAACACACAGTAAGGAGAGACAAGACAACCACTAACACAGTAGGAAGACAAGACAACCACTAACACAGTAAGGGGAGACAAGACAACCACTAACACAGTAAGAAGACAAGACCCAACCAACCAACACAGTAAGGAAGACAAGACAACCAATAACACAGTAAGGAGAAGACAAGACAACCACTAACACAGTAAGGAGAAGACAAGACAACCACTAACACAGTAAGGGAAGACAAGACAACCACTAACACAGTAAGGAAGACAAGACAACCACTATCACAGTAAGGAGAGACAAGGGCAACCACTAACACAGTAAGGAAGACAAGACAACCACTAACACAGTAAGGAAGACAAGACAACCACTAACGCACAGCAAGGGAAATAGGGCAACCACTAACACAGTAAGGAAGACAATAAGAACTAGCCACTATCACAGTAAGGAAGACAAGACAACCACTAACACAGTAAGAAGACAAGACAGCCACTATCACAGTGGGAGACAAGACCCAGCCACTAGCACACAGTAGGAGGGGCAAGACCAGCCACTATCACAGTATTGGGAAGACAGGGCAACCATTAACACAGTGGGAAGACAAGACAGCCAATAACACAGTGGGAAGACAAGACAGCCAATAACACAGTAAGGGAAGACAAGACAACCACTAACACCGGTAAGGAAGACAAGACAACCACTAACACGGTAAGGAAGCCAAGACAGCCACTAACACAGTAAGGAAGACAAGACAACCACTATCACAGTAAGGGAAGACAAGACAGCCACTAACACAGTAAGGAAGACAAGACAACCACTATCACAGTAAGGAAGACAAGGCAACCACTAACACAGTAGAGGAAGACAAGACAACCACTAACGTGGGAAGACAAGACAACCCACCACTAACACAGTAAGGAAGACAAGACAACCACTAACACAGTAAGGAAGACAAGACAACCACTAACACAGTAAGGAAGACAAGACAACCACTAACACAGTAAGGAAGACAAGACAACCACTAACACAGTAAGGAAGACAAGACAACCACTAACACAGTAAGGAAGACAAGACAACCACTAACACAGTAAGGAAGACAAGACAACCACTAACACAGTAAGGAGAAGACAAGACAACCACTATCACAGTAAGGAAGACAAGACAGCCACTAACACGGTAAGGAAGACAAAGACAACCACTAACACAGTAAGGAAGACAAGACAACCACTAACACAGCCCAGTAAGGAAGACAAGACAACCACTAACACAGTAAGGAAGACAAGACAACCACTAACACAGTAAGGAAGACAAGACAACCACTTACTAACACAGTAAGGAAGACAGACAACCACTAACACAGTAAAGGAGAAGACAAGACAACCACTAACACAGTAAGGAAGGGCTTAGGAGCCAACCACTAACACAGTAAGGAGGACAAGACAACCACACTAACACAGTAAGGAAGACAGACCAACCACACTAACACAGTAAGGAAGACAAGACATACCACTAACACAGTAAGGAGACAAGACAACCACTAACACACAGTAAGGAGAGACAAGACAACCACTAACACAGTAAGAGGAAGACAAGACAACCACTAACACAGCAAGGAAGACAAGACAGCCACTAACACAGTAAGGAAGACAAGACAACCACTATCACAGTAAGGAAGACAAGACAACCAATAACACAGTAAGGAAGACAAGACAACCACTAACACACAGTAAGGAAGACAAGACAACCACTAACACAGTATTAGGGAAGACAAGACAACCCACTAACACAGTAAGGAAGACAAGACAACCACTAACACAGTAAGGAAGACCGGGCAACCACTAACACAGTGGGAAGACAGAACCAACCACTAACACGGTAAGGAAGACAAGACAACCACTAACACAGTAAGGAAGACAAGACAACCACTAACACAGTAAAGGAGAATAGGGCAACCGCAACACAGTAAGGAAGACAAGACAACCACTAACACAGTAGGAAGACAAGGGCAACCACTAACACAGTAAAGACAAGACAACCACTAACACAGTAAGGGAAGACAAGACAACCACTAACACATTGGGAAGACAAGACAACCACTAACACAGTAAGGGAGACAAGACAACCACTAACACAGTAAGAAGACAAGACAACCACTAACACAGTAAAGGAAGACAAGACAACACTAACACAGCAAGGGAGGTGGGAGCCAACCACTAACACAGTAAGAGAGGAACCAAGACAACCACTAACACGGTAAGGAAGACAAGAACCAGCCACTAACACACAGTAAGGAAGACAAGACAGCCACTAACACGGTAAGGAGAGACAAGACAACCACTAACACAGTAAGGAAGACAAGACAACCACTAACAGTAAGGAAGACAAGACAACCACTAACACAGTAAGGAAGACAAGACAACCCACTAACACAGTAGGAGAACAAGACAACCCACTAACACAGTAAGGAAGACAAGACAACCACTAACACAGTAAGAGAAGACAAGACAACCGCACTATCACAGTAAGGAAGACAAGACCAACCACTAACACAGTAAGGAAGACAAGACAGCCACTAACACACGGTGAGGAAGACAAGACAACCACTAACACAGTAAGGCCAGCACAGTGCAGCAGAGTGTCTGTGTGGCTGGAGACCCTCTTCAAGTTCAGTTCTCTGTATTCTTATGGTCGACACACCCAAGATAACTGGTCTAGGTTTACATGAACTGGGGAGTCTTATTACCAACAAGGAAAGGAAAACAAACCCCAAAAGATATACATTCGGTCCTTTTTGTTAAATAGTTCTATTATATCTGTTCAGATGTAGAACTAAATATTTCCTTCTTTTCTACTGCTCTACATTTACCTTGTCTTTCTCTATCTTAGTCAATAAAACATTGCTATAACATTAATATTAAAGCCTTGCTCTAGGGAAGCTGGGATAAACTGCCTACCTGTGCACCAGGCTTAGTGTGAATGGGTGGGGGAGACATGGTGTCACCCGGGAGATAGTGGACCATTCAGTCTAAGTCAAACATATAGCACAGTACTGTAGATCTAATTTTCAGAAGTTGCTTCCAAATATTAAACTTCATAAAACTGTTTGAACTGTACAAAATCTGAATTAATGAGGCCATGCTGTATTAAGAATACAGTACTACTTTAAAATACAACATTCAATGAATCTAATACTGTATGTACTTATAACACTGTGTCAGCTGGATCATTAGCAATGTTTGTGACTTTACAGAGAAGCAAACATGACCCTTATGAGAGTGACAGAAAGGCTCCTGTTTGAGGGACCAACTATACATCCACCTTCACCCTTCTGGCCATCAGTGGTTGATATGGGATCATGTTTCCAATACTGGCTGTCATTATTTTCTCCCCAAAATAAGGCAACATGAGTGGTGGAATGTAATGCTGGCAAGGAGTTTACGTTTCAACGTTGATTGTATCTGACCAAGCTTATGACCACCAGCACCACCACCACTAGCTTTATGACCGCCAGAACCACCACACAACACTAAGCTTTATGACCACCAGAACCACCACACAACACCAAGCTTTATGACCACCATCAGACACCACACAACACTAAGCTTTATGACCACCAGAACCACCACACAACACTAAGCTTTATGA